ACATGTGTACCCAGGTTACTCAATAACGTACAATACTCCAATTTGTAAGCTCAAATAGGCTGGGTTTGCCTACTATGTCAGGCCATGAAAAAAACTAGGTTAAAACTAATATTATTCAAATCCAGCTGTTAGTTCTGTGTGTAGTACAAGCTCAGCCGCTGGACGCATTCACAAAATACTTTAGCCTTGTCCTTGTATTAACCTATTTTCTGGATTCACACACTAGACTAATTCATAAATTAACCAAAGGAGGTGGATTCACACCAAACAAAAAACTTCAAGCTTAAACTAGCAAGTTTGAGCAACTTGTGTCAATGTGGCCAAACATCTTCCCCTGAGTTGTGCTAACACAGCTATTGTCATACTTCCTGTGAAAGGGTTTTACGTGAGAATTGTACTCTTTTTCAGACATTCCATGTCTGCCTAAATTTTGACACAGCGGATCCCTTGGAAGCGTAACAGCGTGCCTGAAACATTCACGTCCAAAATACTGAAGTTATGGATACCAGAACAGCAGCTGGAAACCAGTGGAAAACCAAATTGAAACACAATGAACTTTGCTTAATGGGCTAATTGGGGCACGAAGTATCTGTTATTTGCAGCTGTCCAATGCACTGGAGAGCGCGTCGTTGCATTTTGCATAATTTGCACGATAACATCCTACAAAGGAGATATATTATTTTGTGTTATTTGCACGATGATGCTATTAACACCAGTGGCATACATTACGGTAGAAATTTGGCCTGTGGCATGCTGTCCTTTGCAGTGAGGTCCAATAAATCAAGATTTCACCTGTCTAACTAAAACAAACGGTACGTCACAAAACTAACCCACTCAGAGGAACGAACAGGGTAAATGAAGAACTTAATTTTGGACACCAAGCGGAGTAACGAAACAAGCCAAGTTCATTCTTGCACACCCTCCATGGTGTGCCCTCCTAATGCACAGAACTTTCATACACACACACAAACGCACACCACCAGCATGGCATTGGCCATCTTGACTGCAGATGATGGGAGCTGTTATCTCTGAAGCGTTCCCACAACGCTGTAATTTTTTGTAAAATTCTGTAATTTTTGTCACTGGAGTAACACACTTCCATAAACCTTTCCCATGCTCCTTTTACTGATTTTTCCTGGCAATGTCCTTTCGTCCTTCCATCTCACCTTTCCTGGCAACCTGTATTTTAGCTCCATATGCAACTCAGCAGAGGGAAAAGAAATTTAAATTTGAGGAGCACCCCAGAACCCAAGACTTCACTCATTTTCCTTGGAGGCTGCAACCAGAGGCATCTGCTGGAGATGGAGGAAGTGTCAAAAAAGTCAAGATGGTGGTTACAATTGTGCAACTGAAGCCCTGTCCTTGCTTATGGCTTGTAGAACATGGTTCATGGTGTTCCATGTGATGTAGTCAGATGGAGCACCATGAACCATGATCTGCAAGCCATAATGGCTGGGTTGATACAACACAGTAAGTCAAAATCAACAAACCAGCTTAGGACTTAGCATGATGCATAAAGCCAGCAGATTTCTTAACACTGATAAGGAGGAGAAGTTTCTTCGTCCACTGGAGGCAGATGTTCCTGCATCTAATTTCAGCAGATGATCCCAGGTTCTAACATGGTAGCTCTATTTACTCAAGGCACTCCTCCCAGAACTAAAGTTGCTCACACAATATGCTCGTCTTGGTTAGTGCTGATCTTGGTTTGGTTGGCTATGGCCGAGCACATTGTGTGAACCCAACCCATCAGTGAGTTTAGATTCAAACGGTGATCTTGCAAAGCCAGGAAGTGCATGAATGAGTAACCAGATCAACCACCTAACTTGAGTACATCTTGTGAAAGAGTGAAACTAATTCTCTTCCCCCCTTATTTGCTTTCGTTCCATTAAATCCAGCCATTTCACGAGGGGCGCGTCCAAACACGAGTGAGAAGGAAGGAGAAAGATTCAAAGGATGATGATGAGAAACTATTATCAAATCAAATACATATAGAAATGCTCCGGCTTGCACAGAAGCTGAGAGGAAGCGTTGCAAATTACAGCGTTTCTTTCCTGAATGAGAAACCCTCTGAATCATTTGTGGTCGTCCCTTCCTGTTGCTTTGGGATAGGCTTGCACTTGTTCAAATGATAAGAAGGGAAGACGAAGAAAAGGTGGGGCCCCACCCCTCGAGAGTCAGTAATAGTGGCCATGTCTGTGGCCACCAGCTTGACTTTTTGACTGCCCCCCCAGCAGACGCCCCTGTTTCCACCTGGAAGGGTTTCTGCTGTCTCCCTCAATAGTCCTTCCTTTGGATGAGAAAGATTGAGTTTGTGCACCCCATGAAGCCATGATCTGATTAACCATGGTTTATTGAATATTCCACAATTGGCCGGGTTTCCACAACACAGGGAGATGTAAAGGTGTAAATCATCGATACGAACCACCGTAACCAGGCTCACCTTCACACTAAGCCCAAAAGAATCAAACACTGGGCCCAAACTAGGTATGATGGTTTAGCCCAGGCTCAGCCAGTGTCGCTACCATCATCCCCTACTTTCTACGAAAAGGGACAGCGATGGGACCCGCAACATTTCTGCCCCTCCGTAAACTTCAGAGCCAATTCAGCTTTCCTTTCTCCCTTAGGGTGAAAATTTCAAGAGGGTTTCCAAAACAGCCAAAAGCCTTTCAGCTCAGAGGAGTGAAATTTTCACTCCGGGTCCTTTTTAAGCGACAAAGGTCGGCCTTTTGCCCTCTTCTTCCTCTTGAGCAAGAGAGTCAGTTCTGGGCTCGGACACCTGGGGGCACCAGGAGTTGCTTCCGACCTCATCCAGGATGGGAACTCGGGGGCGTCCGCTCCCTTCTCCGGCCAAGAAGAGACCGGGGTTGAAATTGCAAAAAGTTTTGTCGAGACTTTGGAGCTGGGGAGGGGGAGAGAGGAAAACAACCCAGCAGGCCTGGTCCTCCCTTCTCAGCCATCCAGGCAGGGG